AGACCCCACCTCCTGTACCAGGCACTATTCTAGGCCCTGGAGAGACCGAGGACTCCTCCCCGTGGTCTCTGTTCCTTCCACCACTTCCTTCTATTTATTCTGCTCTCGCTCCTCCCTCCCGAGCCAACTGTAGGAGCATCAGTCTTCTTTTCCTTTCCCCAAAGGAGCTCTCTGTCTCCAGAACCAGGTCTCTGACCAGCTGTTCCTGTCCCGCCTTTCCCCGCCACTCCTTCTCGACACTTGGTCAGGGCAGGTCTTGGGGGTTGTGGGCATGAGGGAGGAGGCAGGAGAGGCTGATGTCTCAGAAGAAACGGGGATCAGCCTGAGCCCGTGGGTTCGAGACCCGCCTGGGCAACTTGGCGAGACCTCATCTCTACAATAAATCAAAAAATCAGCCGGGCGTGGTAGTGTGCGCCTGTAGTTCTGGCTACTCGGAAGGCTGAGGTGGAAGGATCACCGGAGCCCAGCAGGTCGAGGCTGTGGTGGCCGGAAGTGGCCACTGCACTCCAGTTTGGGTGACAGAGTGAGACTGCAACCCCCCCCCCCAAAAAAAGAAAAAAAGACACGGAGATCTTAGGGTGTGGAGACTTTGAAAGCCCCAGTGGGAGAGTCCAAAGACATTACCACATCCAACCCTCTCCATGTTACAGATGAAGGGGCTGAGGCATGATGCTGGGGACGGGCAGTGAGGGCACCGGCTGAGATCTGATCCAGGTCTCAGGAGGCCAGCGGGGGCTGAGGTTGTGGTGTGTTTGCAGGTAAGATGCCCATCTTGCAGTGGAGCCAAGCGCAAAGCCAAGCAGTCCCGGAGGTGCCAGCTGTGCTCAGGGTCTGGCAGACGGAGGTAGGGCCAGTCTCCCTGGCATAGTGGGGAAGCACACTTGCTTAGGTTACTGGCTTTCCATTGTCTGCCCATCTGGAAGGCAAGCGGGAACCCACCTGCCTTGTCACTGCTGTGTCCCTGGAGCGCTGTGCACAGTAGGTGCTCTGAATGTCTGTGGAGTGGGTGAGCTTTGCTCAAGGCCTGGCATTTCTGGACAGGCCAGGAACTAATCAAGCGGCGTGTGGGTCAGGCGTGAGGAAAGAGAAGCTAGGAAGGAGGAAGGGAACAGGGTTACCAGGAGAGGATATTTCTTCCTGCCCACATGGTAGGGAAGTGAATATGGTAAACCACCTAAAGGTGACATCTTTAACACTCTGAGGATCGGAGCAAAACCCTGTTTACAACTCATGGTGGACCTCAATGGAGGAACAGTCAGGGAAAGTTAGTTAATCGACTAAATAATCAACCAAGTTTTATCTCTGCTCACAGGGCTTTGCAAACAGTGGACCATTGCGTTTTGTAAATCATGTCATCTGATGGATTTATGAATCCTTAAGGGAAATAGAAAATTATGAGGAGTGAAAACATTCCAAGTTGGGTTGGTTAATGACACTTTTGCCTCATCAAAGTCCAGGCCATCTTTTGGACAAGCCAGATGGAGAAGCTTTGGTGTACCTTCCACTGTGGTTGGGAAAGAGAGTCTCTCACTTGGAAAGAAACTCATTTTTCTTTCATTTGCAAGTGAGAGGAAGCCAATTCAAACTGGCTCTGGCAAAAACAAACAAACAAACAGACAAACAAACAAACAAACAGGCCCAGGTAACTGTAAAGCCCAGGGGTATAGTTCAGGTGGTTTCAGGCCCAGCTGGATCCAGGTGCTTAAATAATGTCACCAGAATCTGTCTCCACCCCTCACTCTGCTTTCCTTTGTGTTGGTTTCATTCTCACATGGGCAGCCCCCTGCAGTGGCAGAGGGAACCACCAATAACCTCAGGTTAGTAGCCCAGGTAGAAAAGGATGCCCCTTTCCTGATAGTTCTGACAAGCATCCAGGAGCAGATCTCACTGCATGCACCTGGGTCACAGGCCCATCTCTGTATCAGCGTCTGCGTCAAGGGAGATGGAATAAGGTGACTGTCTGGGCCAAGATCCCAAGCTGGTCACAGAAAAGAGTGGGGGCAAGCCCAAGAGCCATGTGGGCTGGGTGGGGTCCTCAGAGGGAGCCTGGGGCAGTGCCACCAGAAGAAGGAGAACTAGAGGGTGGGCTGGTAAAGCAACACAGACACAGCATAATCTGCCTCCGTGAGGAAGGATTGAGGGTGGAGGGGAGTTGGTGGGGGAGTCTCTGGAAGCCGCCAGGACCTGAGACCAGTCTGGGGGTGCTGACTGCGCGCCCTCCTCAGGTGCAGCACGTGCTCGGGACGGGGGAGCAAGACCTGTGCCACCTGCAAGGGCGAGAAGAAACTGCTACACTTCATCCAGCTGGTCATCATGTGGTATGTGGCCTGCAGGGGTGGCCGAGGGGTGCGGCATGGGCTGGTTTCTGCAGAGGAGCTCTCCTGGGGTGAGGCTTTCACAGTGCAGGGACCTGCTGCGACTTTGAAGGGGTAGAATTTCCTGAGCAGAGGCAGTGTGGGTGGTGGGGTGCTGACAGGCTTTGAAACAGACAGACCGGAGTTCAAATTCTGCCATCACCACTGTCTACTGCTGCAGCCCCTCAGCAGCTGAGCACTTCCATGCGGGAGCAGAGCCCAGCAGCCTGCTACGACGCCCCACCGCCAGTCAGGGCGCCCCCATGTTAAGGGTTTCTCCTGCGTGGGGCTCCTTGCTAAGCATTTTGCAGGCAAGATAAATGAGGCCACAGAACTAAGCTGTCATTTCCTTACTAGCTTCATTTACTAGCTTCACGGAGAAGGCCGAGGCTCAGAGAGTCTCCAGCACTTCCCCAAGATCCCACCAATGGCAACTCAAGGCCCGGACCCCTGGGTCTGTCTGAGTCCAAAGGCCTTGCTCCTAACCTGCCACATGGTATATTTTCACTCGCCCTCACCCCCCATCTTCTTTGCTTCTAGGAGGAACAGCCTGTTTGAGTTTGTGTCTGAGCATCAGTTCGACTGCCCTGGGGAGCTCCTTGCTAAAGCCAAAGGGGAAAACCTCTTTAAGGATGAAAACTCAGTGGTAAGCAGGGCTTTGAAGACGGGAGCAAAGGAAGCTGGTTCCTCCTTCCCTCGGTGGGGCCGGGTCTGCTGGCTGTTTGTGGGGGCTCTGTTCTTTTAAAAGGACAGGCTGGGCAGAAATGAGGTGCCCAGACGGTGAGAGGATGCGGGACCCCGGGGGGCTTCAGCTTGAATACCACACTCAGTCTCAGTCCTCTGTCCCTCCTCCCACTCGCCAGTCTCCCTTCCTCCCTTCTCTGCCCGCCCTCCCTCCTTCCTCCTCTTCCTCTCCTTCTCCCCCTTCCTCCCTCCCCTTCCCTCCCTCCTCCTCTTCCTCCCTCCCTCCCTCCGCCTTCCTTCCACAAGCCTTGAGACCCCCGCCTTCTGTACCAGGTGCTGTTCTAGGCCCCGGGGGAACCACAGCAGGAACCAACACCATGCCCCTTACTCACAGTCTGGGGAGGGAGGCAATCGGGGCACTTTTGCTGCAGCGTCAGATGGTGATCAGGGTCATGAGAAACACCCGAGCAGGGTGGGGGTGCAGGAGGGGGTGGGGGCGGGGAAGGTGCGTCTGCGGAAGTGACATTGGACAGAAACCTGGACACAGGCAGGGGAGGCGTGGGCCCTGGGGTGTGGGGGCGAGGGGGCAGCAGGACGGAGCCCTTGAGGACCCATGGAGGCATGAGGAAGTGGAGAGGAGCTCAGACATGAGTGAGAGGGTCCTGGCTGACCACGGGCCAGCACACCCGGCCCACGGCCTGCTTTTATACATAAAGCTCTAGTGGAACACAGCCTTACCCATTGCTATGTGTTGTCTGCGGCTGCTTTCCTGCCAGTCGGGCAGAGCTGAGTCATGACAGAATGCATGGCCCACAGAGCCTAAAATATTTATCATCTGACCCTTCATGGAAAGGGCTTACTGACTCCTGCTACCCGCTTGGGCAGAGAATTTGACTTCAGTGAGACTTCTGAACAGGGTCCTCAGATTGTAGGGGAATGTGTCAGAATCCTTTCCTTGCCCCAGTAATATGGCTTCCCAACTGCTTACCTCAGGTATCCACCCTCTAGGAAGTCCTGCACCCACACCCCCTGTCTGAGTTAGGGGACCGCCCCACGTGCTCAGCCCAGCACGGGGCCCATTCTCTGGCTGCTGGTGGTGGTGGCTGATGGCTCTGTGAGCTGACCCTCCCTGGCAATGAGCTCTGACAGGGCAGGCGCCATGGTGGTCACCTCCCTACCCTCTGCCTCCACTGCAGCGCCAGTGGATGTTAGCAAATGTTTGAGGAGTGGTGGAGGGAAAAGGGTACGATTCCACAATTAGGGGCAGGATGGAGAGCCACAGAGGAGGGCAGTGCCTGCCCCCAGTGTGTGGAAAGATTTCAAGCATGAGGACTGAATAGATGCTCTCATGCTTGGACTTCATGAAGGCTGACTGTGAGAGCTTGGTGTATTTGTGGTCCATATATGCGCAGCTCACAGGCAGTGCCTGGCCCATAGAGGGCAGTTTGTAGGTTTGAACGAGAATGAATCTAAGCTCCGTTCCAGCACATGTCCAGACCCCACAAGCCCACACTGACAGAGACCACGCCTGCTGTGGTCACTGAGGTGTCCCTGAAATTAGCACGATGCCAGGCACATGGTAGGCACACAGCAAGGGTTTGCTGGAGGAATGAGTGGGTTGCAGGGGAAGGGTTCTCTGACTACAGCCCTCCTTTTTTGTTGGAATTCCCAGGACTGTGTCATGGGTCCACATAGGTCAAACAAGGTGCTGTGTTGCCTGGGGGCCCTTCCTTCCTTGGGCTGCCTTCTCTGTCTGTCGGCTTTGGCTCGCATAGCCCCAGTGGTCTGCGTCTCTCTCCCTCAGGTGTACCCTATTGTGGACTTCCCCCTGCGGGACATCTCTCTGGCCTCTCAGAGGGGCATTGCCGAGCACAATGCTACCCTGGCCTCCCGTGCCCGAGTCCTGCAGCAGGTGAGCCTGGGCCTAGAGCCTGGAGTGTGAGGGCTGGGTTGGGGGTGGGGGAACACCTGGCTCTGATGTCTCTTCCTGGGACTGCTGACCCTTTGGGGACTGGGTCTGGAGTTGTTGGGAGGCGAAGCTTACCTCAGGCTGGGGCACTGTCCTTTGGGCGTCTAAGGGAAACTGAGTCTGTTTCTCTGCCTGGAGCCTCTGTCCTGAGGATGTCAGGGAGAAAAGACAAGGAGGAGTCATTGGAAGAGAGTGGAGGGGAGGGAGTCCCAGTGGGAGGCATCCAGGGAGGGCTGGGGCCTGACCTGAGGCCAGAGTGGCTAGAGGGCAGAGAATGGGCAGCTTGAGGTAGCAGAGGCAGGGAGGACCAAGGGCCACAGGAGAAGTTGGGATTTTAGTTCTGAGAGCGACAAGAAGCTCTGCAGGGTTTCCAGCACGGATGTGGCGTGGTGTGATTTCGGTTCTGACTCCCTGGGATTCAGACAGGGAAAGGGAAGACTTCCCTTATCTGGAGGTTCAGGGTCAGAGGCCCTCCAGGAGCCCAAACCCCCAGCCCTGCCTCCTCCCAGCCTCCGATGTTTTGGCCGCTGTATTCTGATGGCCACTAGGTGGCGCTGGTGCCCGTCACTGCCCCAGTCTTGGCCAGGAGCTGCCCCTCCCGCCACACCACAGCACCTCTGCAGAAAGATCTGCGTTTGGCTCGGGAAGCCCTTCCCTGGCACTGTGAGTGGGGGACCCGGCAGCTGGGGCCTGAGCCTTGCAGGATGGGCTCGGATCCGGGTCTGCTGCACCCTCACACGATCCAGGGCCAGCTGCTTTCCCCTCCTCCTAGACCAGTGCCTCACCTGCGAAAATGGCGACATTAAGTGCCTCAGAGGGTTTTGCAGGGAGGAGACCACTTGCTTAACCTGCTTGGCGTCTGGTGCTCAAAACTCCATTTTCTTTTTCTTCCCTTCCTTCCTTCCTTCCTTCCTTCCTTCCTTCCTTCCTTCCTTCCTTCCTTCCTTCCTTCCTTCCTTCCTTCCTTCCTTCCTTCCTTCTCTCTCCCCCTTCCCCCCTACTCTCTCTCTCTGGCCCGCCCTTCCTCCCTTCCTCTTTCCCTTTTTCCTCTTTCCTTCCTCCCTCCCTTCCTCTTTCTTTCTTTCCATGCTTTTTGGGTTCTCATATATTAAAAATAGCAGGACAGAATTGTTGTTGTTTTTAAAGTTTTCCATTCAGGGTGCATGCTTCTTTTTTATTTTATTTTAAGTTGTGGGGTACAAGTCAGGATTGCATACACAAGTGGTTTAAGGAGGTGATGTTTGGGGTCTCCCATTTATGTGCCCCTCTCCCCTGGCAGTGTCCCACTATTGCCAGTCCCTTTTGTGTAGTATTATGATAGGTGTTCAGGTTCCACTTATGAGTGGTACTCAGTTGTTTGTTTCTGTGATAGGTCACTAAATATGATAGGCTCTAAATCCATCCAAGTTGTCGCGAAGTCCATAATTTTGTCCTTCTTTATGGCTGTGTTATATTTCATCGTGTGTATGTACCACATTTTAAAAAATCCATCCCAGTTTTAATGGGCAGCATGATTGGTTCCATATTTTTACTATTGTGACTAGCGCTGCAATAAACATGCATGTGCAGGTTTTTTTTTTGTAGAATAACTTGAGTCTCTTTTCTTTCTATCCTTTGTAATGAGCATTTTCCCTTCTCTCTCTCTCTCTCTGCACATTTCCCTTATTTGTAGAGGAGAGAAGGATGCATTTTATCTAAAATAATATGGACCATCTTGGAGTTCAGACAATGCAAACTTGCAGGCCTCCCAGGGCCAGGCAGTAAGGAGGGTGGGAGAACCCCTTATCCGAGGGAGTCCACCACTCAGCTTTGTATAGGCTCAGGGCCCAGATTCCAGACCATCTGAGGTCCAGATTTTTATATGAAACCTTCCAATTTTACAATAATTTGGGAGCTGGGGAAACTGAGACCCAAGGAGGGGAAGTGACTTGTTCCAAATCACACATGTTGGTGGCAGGTCCAGGACTAGAACTTGGGTCTCCTGAGGCTTCCCTACGATCACAGAGCCTGTCTCACAGTACAGCTCATTTGTAACCAAATCCTGGAGGCAGAAGGTAAACCAGGGAATAAATGCATGTTTTTCTTTGAAAAGGAGCAAAATGGGAGAGGAGCTTACTTCTATGAATCTTTAAAAAAACAAATCTGCCTTTGACCCTGGAGCCATAGACAGAGATTCATGCCAGTACATAACTCAGGATAGAGAAGTTAGTGAGTGGAATCTGACCACGAGGAGACAGCTGCCATTACATCTCCCGGTCATAGCCATGACTTTGAGACCTGGTCTCCGTTCATTGCAGGGCCAGGCTGCACCACAGATGCCAGCCAATTACAAGATAGCGGTTGATGTCTTGAGCAATTTGTGGCCTCTACCTAGGAGACTCTTAGAACCAGAAGCAGAGGGAGACAGGTGGGGTGGGGGGAAGTATCGCCCTGCTTTCTATTGGCTCTTAGTAGAAAAGCTTGGAAATAAGAGTGTTCTTGACCTTGGTGTCCAGGCCTCCTGAGAGGTGACATTGACACCCTTTTCCTTGTGCCCCTTAGTTTCCACTTAGGATCCTTCACACTGAGATTTCAAGAGGAGTTTTCCATCTTTTTCCCCCAACATTCTCATTTGGATACCAGTTTCTGGCCAAGGAAGAGAGCTCAGTCTTGATCTTGTTGTCTCAACAACTCTGTGAAATGGGAGTTTTTAATCCCCAGTCCACAGATGCGGAAACTGAGACCCAGAGGCACAAAGTGCGAGATCAGACAGAAAGCTTAACGAACTCTCCGTGCTCTGAGTCTGAGTCTCCCTTCCCTTTCACAATGTCACGCTGCCCCCGGCCTCTCCTCCTGCCTCTCAAGATGCCCTCCCTGTCCTGCTGTCCAGGGATTTCCAGGACTGCTTTTCTGGAGGGGAGTGAGAAGGAACAGCTCGCCTCCCGGCCTGTTTCACCTTTCCCTGGGGGCCTTGGAGCCATCATCAGCTACAGCAAGAGGGCTCAGGGGTCTTTTCCCCACAGGAAGAACTTCCTGCAAATAAAGAGAGTCTAATCCTGGGCCAGTCGCACCACCGTTTCCTGGGTGTGGGATCCTCAAATCTGAGTCTGAAGCAGGAGTAGTTTAGCGGCTTTGACAAAGAGCCTGGCCCACAGTAAGTCCGGGGAAAACTTAGCTTACTTTATTAGGAGTGACATTCCTGCATCAACTATGTAGGATAGGTTGCCAGCAACCAAACAACACTGGTGGAGAGGAGTGCCTCTGTAGGAACCTGGTGCTTTCTCCCAAGGTGGGGCCTGTTGTGTCCCGGGCCAGGCCTCATCACTGAGGAGGGTTGCTACATCACTCTTTAGAGCAGGGGCCAGAGGATGAGATGCAGTTTTTATGTCACCGGCTGACCTTAGCACCCGCCCACTGAGTAGGGTGTGACCCTGATGCTCTATGCACCCGACACTTGCAGGAGCTGGTGAGCGAGGCTGGGTTAGGGGTGGGTGGAGGCCACGCCCCGCAATCCTCTGCCAGGTCAGCTTTGGAGAGGAGGGGCTGGGCTGGGCAGGCCACGTGCTCCAGGTGTGGGTCACCAGAGGCCTCTGCCGTTGAAGGACGCCTGCCCCACACCCAAAGGGGGATTGCTCCAGCAGGGCCTGAACTTGAGAGGGCCAGCGGGTGCCCTTTCTCGATCTCCAGATTCCCCCACAAGATGTGTGCACATAACAGGCCCCGTCAGGGGAGACTGGGGAGACCCAGGCCGTATCCCAGAGCATCAGGGGCAAATGATATGCAGAGGAGCACTGGCTGTGCCCATCAAACAGGGCCACTCTGTGGGAGGGAGGGCGTTCCCCGTCCTGGCATGGGGCATTTAAAAAGAGGTGGGTGCTGGGAAGGAGATCTGAGAGTTAGACGGGTCTAGCTACGGTGAATAGGTGGGGCTTGCACCAGATAATCTCCAAACCCGAGATTCCACGAACCCACAGGTCTCCGTTTCCTCACTTCTAAAAAGAAGGGCATCACGTGTGAACGGCTTTTCCCAGAGCAGGGCCAATACAAACCCATGGTGGTGGGGGTGGGGAGGTCTGAGAAAAGAGCCTGACACAGCCCACCGCACTCTGAAATTTCTTTGTGGCCACTGCTTCATCTTTAAAATTTGACTCCAACTTTGTAAGTCACTCCCTAACATCTCCATGGTTGTTTTAAGATAAAAATGTTTAAAATGACCTTATCCTCCACTACCCTGCAGCACCCCATCTAAAAATTCATGCTTCTGGAAGATGCTCTATCTGGCTGGTGGCTTTTCATAGACTCTGGGACTCCCCTGGGGATGCCCAGTTGGTGAGACCTAGAATTGGATGGTGGCTAAAGATGAGAAATCAGTTTTGGCCGTTGCTTAGGGTATGTGAAGGAGCATAGGTGGAGACACATCTAGAAAGGCAGACTGGAGCCAAATTGTGCAGGGCCTAGAATGCCAACTCCAGAGGATGAAATTCATCCACGGCAATAGGGAGCTACTGAAGGTTCTTGAGCAGGCACGTGTCTTGAACAGAATAGGAAAACAGAAGGTGTTTTCTGGCTGTTTGTTTCTTCAGCGCCAGACCATCGAGCTGATCCCTCTCACAGAAGTTCATTACTGGTACCAAGGAAAGACTTATGTCTACTACATCTATGGCACCGACCACCAGGTGTATGTGGTGAACTACCCCGAGAGGTACTGCTGTGGCTGCATCATCCTCTGACATAGCCCCGCTGTCCCCCGAGCCGCCGTTCGCATCTGCCAAGGAGGACAACCGACCGTCTCTGAGTGCACCAACACTGGACGATCACATACGCACCCTGGCACGCCCTTCCAGAAAAATCAGCTTATCGTCTGTCAAGCCGCAGCTCCCTCTGGCCCCCTCTGGTGGGATCTGTCACTCTTATGTTCATCCTACAAGAATTCAGCTACACACATTCCTTTAGGACAGATGAGAGGAATGATTTAAGTGGCAGGGGCTTTGCCCTGTTTGAGTGAGTGATCTGAGTCCGATTTTCCTCCCTTCCGTCCGGGCTCTGGTGTGTTGCTTCTGGTGTGAGCCTCTTGCTAAGCGGAGCATTCTTGAAATGTTTAGCGAGATATACATGGCCTGCCCTAATGCATGACTAAGAGTTGCATGTAGGCACAAAGTGCAGAATTTTCCTGCCCATCCTGTGGGTTGGGAATTTGGACGCAGCCTCCATGGGGATGGTGTCTCTCCGCCCCCTCATGTCTGAGGCTTCCCCTGGAAGATCTGAAGCCTGGGGTGGGATCATCTGAAGGCTAGCCCACTCCACGTCAGGTGGCCAATGGCACCTGGTGGCTGAGACACGGCTGGGGGCTGTCAGCTAAGAGACACACATATGTGGCCTCTGCATGCAGCAGGGGTGTTCACGACACGGTGGCTCTAAGGGTGAGCGCCCCTCATGCGAACCCAGCTGAAGAAACAGATCTGCCCCCCCCACCGGAGAACAGATCTGTTTCTGTTCTGTGTTGGATGGAGCAAGAGTCTGCATGCCCACCTCTGATGTCTACGTAAGGAGTTTAGCGGGTGGTTTTGAATAGATGCAGTTTTTATGTCACTAGCACCCACCCACCTAGTAGGGTGTGAACCCAAAGCTCTGTGCGCCTGGTCAGAGGCAGAAGCTGGTGAGAGAGTCTCGGGAGAGACTGGGTGGAGGCCGTGCCCTGCAGACCCAGTGCCAAGACAGCTCTGGAGAGGAGGTGCTGGGCTGGGTGGGCTACGTGCTCCTGGTGTGGGTCGCCAGAGGCCTCTGTCACGGCAGGATGCCTGCCCCACACCCAGAAGGGGATCGCTACTGCAGGGCATGACCTCAGGAAGCAGACTGAAGAGGGCCAGATTGAGCCTCCAATTCCCCGCCAGGGGGTGCATGTCTCAGGCCCAGTCAGGGGAAGGGACTGAGGCTGTGCGCCAGGGCATCATGGGCAAATGATATGCAGATGAGCACTGGCATGCTCACCTGCTGCTGCTCAGACCCCAGCTTCCTGCATCCTGTTTGATGGCTGTTTCCCGAGTGTGGCTGAGCCACCCACTGGCAGGTCCTGGCTGACAGCGGGGTGACCAGCCTTGCCAACACGAGCAGCAGGACTAGGGGCTCAGCACTGGGGGGGGAGCCAAGGGCAGGGGGTGTCAGGGTGCCCTGGGCATGGGTGACAGCAAGGGGAGAGATGGAGGGCTCCCCAGGAAAATCCCGCCTCTTCCTCCTGAAGCTTTGCCATACCCAAGTTTGGGAGGCCCAAGCTTGGGAGGCCCCCGCTTTGGTTTAACAAGGAGGCCATCGCCTACCACCCTGGTGTCCCCATGGACTACCTCCATGATCCTTAAGGAGGATGCTTCTGTCTCTCAAGGGCATTGTACAAAAGTGGGGGACAGTTTTTAGTTGTTGCAATGATGGGTGGCCTTAGGAGGACAGAGTCTAGGAAAGCCAGATGTCCAGCAATGCTTGGGAGCTCTAACTTGACTTGCAAAAGTCCCACTGACATTCACATGGAATGTGCCTTTGTAATACACAAAAGGCTCACCAGTTAGTCCTCAGTGTAATGCTAATTTTTATTTAGTGCTCACCTTTGGTTTTTGGTTTTTCCTGTATACCTGGTTTGAAATGACTTTGAGTTACCTTACTTTTCTTAAATCCAAATGTGTGCGTTATAAGTGGGTGCCAAATGTATGCTTTATACGTGGGTACAGCTGTCTGGCGATTTCATCACGAACCCCGATGTAGTTGTGCCTTAACATTTACAAATGGAAATGTATGCATTTAAAAATGAGTGTCTTCTAATTGCTCCTTTATGTTTCAGTTTGGGCACTAAATCGCTTTTTGTGTTTAAACACCTATGACGTCAGTGGACTATACATAGGTGGTGCCAAAAACTGTACACAAAATTTAAGTACGACATTTGCTCAAAAGACGGCATTAATCAAATCAGTGCTAACATCACCATTCGACAAGCAGGGCAGTCAAACAAAATGGTGAAAGCTCGGTTGAGCGAACATCATACTACACATTGCTACAGTAATTCAATTCAACCCTTCGAAAAATCATATAGATAACATCTCTTAAAATGCGTATTCAACTTTTTTGGCACCCCGTACGAATTTTATTTTAGGATAAAAGGTAGCATTGAGTATGCTGAGCTCGAGGCCCCATGGCCTATACACACCGTTGGCTTAGGAACCCTACGAGAACGTGCCAGCTGGAATCACAGGGCCCCAAGGGATGCCATCCCAGTGAAGCAGCAAGGGGCAGAAAGCAACCGCGAGCCACGAGCCACAGGAGGTTCAGTTCTGATGACTCCACCAAAACCCAGATGGAAACTGGGTCCTGCTGCCACTTGACAGCTGTTGTATACTTTTCCTTGAGGGATCATCTGCTTTTATGACATTCACCACAGCCAGGATATAACTTCATTTCCTAGCCCTGCCTCTCTCTGTCATCCTAAGGCTGATCTGGCTGTTGCTGTGTAGCCCTAGGCCCAGGTGGAGTCTTTGTGGGTAGCAGGTAGACCACAAGGACATCCCTAACCCTCAAACTGACCGCCATGGATGGTGGCTCTGGGCCTGCCTTGATTTTGTTTGGCAAGAACGTTAGACTCAAGCTCTTTGCTTTCTCCTCATTGCCCTGCAAAGGAGAACATTAGCCCTAGTCTATACTGATCAGCTAAAAGCACAGGGCCTCTGCCAGGTGGCCAGAGCCCGGCTGGGCTTAGTGAGGGTTTATACAGATCTGAAGTCTCTGCCCAAGTCTACAGGGTAACAGGAGAGACTGCAGGTAAACAGGAGGAAATGAAAGAGTCAGGTAGCTGCACAAGATACAAATACCTAAGATGCAAAAACTGGTGGGGGTGGTTGCAAGTGACAGAGACTCAAATGGACTTACATAGAAAAGGTTATTGATTAGTTCTTGTGCCTTAATCAAATTTCCATCTTCAGGTATAGCTGGATCCAGGGACTTGAGCCATTTCATTCCAACAGGATCTCCCCTCCTCTCCTGCTTGCTTTCCTGTTTGTTTTTCTCTCTTTTGCTTTTGTTCTCAGTCAGGCTTTCCCCACCTTGGGAGTAAGTCAGCTATTAGCAACTCTAGAATTCACCCTATTGAGCTCAGAGACTCCAGCAGAGAGAGTGCTGCAAGCTAATTTGTGCCCACTAGAATCCCAGGGAAGGATCTCAGTGGCTTGGCCTGGGTCACATGCCCATCCTTGAACCAATTGCTGATGGGGAATGCAGTGACTCTATTGGTCAACCCAGGTCACATGATCTCCTCCCTGCTGGAGTCAGTGTTGGTCAAATCAGAAGGGGGTCAGGGAACTGAGCAGGCAGAGACATCACCTGTCCATTAGAGGGGCAGATAGAAAGTGCTGGGTTTATTCAGGATGGTGCTCTGGAGTTTTCTTTGTGCTTTGTCCCAAATGACACCTCAGTCAATGAGGAGAGACTGAGGCTTGGTCCTTTCCCTGCTGAATGCTGGATTTCCCTTCCCTGTCATCGCTGGGAGTGCAGAGCTTTGATGCCTGTGTACTTCCGTCACTAAAAATAAGAATTTGCCCTGACCTTGGGCTAACTTCCTGCGGGTCTCTGCAGCGGCATATAGTTCTGGAATGGGGGCGAGTGTGTGTGCATGGCATGTGCATGTGGTGTGTATGCATGGTGTGTGCGTACGTGTGCATGTGTGGTGTGTGTGTTTGCTGGGTGGGAGGGTCACGGCTTAGAAAGCGGTTTCTCTCCCCCACCTGGTCTTCCTCCAGTTCTCCTCTATGTCCCTGTCATTCTCTGTAGCTGATCGAACACCAAAGATGTAGGCTTTTCACTCCAGCCTGACTTCCACTGGCTGTGTGACCCCGAGCAAGTCCTTGCACCTCGTGGGCCTCAGTTTCCTTTTTTGTACCGAGGGGCTGGATCCTGTTTTCCCCTTTCTTTTCTTTGTCCTTTTCTGCCATGTATTTTAGATCTGGGGGTACCCATGCATGTCGGTTACATGGATGTATTGTGTAGTGGTGGGAATCGGATGGCCCATTCCTCAGATAGTGAACATTGTGCCCCCTGGGTAGTTTCTGAACCCTACACCCCCTCCCCCTTATTGGTGTCCCCACTATCTATTATTTCCATCTTTGTGATGGTTTAGCAGAGGTCATTATATAAAAAAGACACCTGCACCCTTTATTTTTCTGTTACCCTTTACTTCTTTTGGATAGACAAACATATCAGGTAGTATTGCTGTGATTGGGGCCCCGAGCCCTCCCTTGGACACTGGCCTCTGCTCACCTCAGGCCCTCGGTTGCTAGGAACCAGCTGACATGGCCAGAGCAGAGTCACTGGGAGCTAGCTCGTTGTCACCATGAATGTCTCATGGGGGGGGCTGCATTTCTAATTGACCACAGGACACTCCTGAAAGTTTTATTTTTCTTTGTAAGTAAATTAAAGCCCTTGGCATGAGCAATTTTTCTGATATTTCTTAGAATAATTAATGCATAGAGAAAGAAAAAAGAAAATAAAGTTATTTGGAGGGGTATTGTGGGCAGCTGACAGTTCTTTTGATGCTTTATCTGGAGCAGAAGACCCCTAGGGCATCCAGTTTTGGGATCTCTCCCTTCGTCTTGGTTCCCAAGCTGGAGGAGGGCATTGCTACTTGTTTCTGCGTCTTTGAGCCTGGGGTGTTCCTTGGCTTTTTTTCTCATCAACTGAAGGAATGAACAGAAAGATGAGAATTGGAACATAGGGGATGGGGGTGGTGGTTAATCTTTTAGGGCAAAATCAGCCACTGTCATTTTAGTGATAGTGTTTGTCTCATGATCCAAAAGTAAGGTTGG